AGAAAGAAAGAAAGAAAGAAAGAAAGAAAGAAAGAAAGAAAGAAAGAAAGAAAGAAAGAAAGAGTTCATTAAAACACCTGCTGCCCATTTTAAGGTGAGTTTGATTCTGATTATTTATAAAGCAGCTCATTTGGCACATCTTTGCAGATAAACAATTAAAGTGACCAAATTCTCCACTTGTCTTCTGCAGATATTTCTGTTCAACCCGCTCCCACGCTTCGTGCTCTGTCCGTCTCACCGTTCAGACACTCAGACTCTCTGTCCATCAGATACATCATCAGGATCGTCTCCAGGAGGCTGAGCATCATTAGGGCAAAGATCCCAAAGCAGTAGGCCTCTGCAGAGAGAAGACAGTGAGGATTATTTATGCAGAAATTTTTTGTTGGCATCAAAATAATTTATTGTTAAGTACATTTGCACATAGAACGATTTTGCTTTGTGGTCCTGGTGGTCTTGTGTGTGTAGAATAACCCCTTAAGACGAGCTTCTACCWCCTGTTTGCTAATTGAGTTTGGCCAGGCACACGTGAGCTCCAGATGCAGTGTGCCTGACAGCAACATGGAAAAGCTCAAGAGGTTTTTTTTTACAAGAAATAACTCAATAAACACAGGATGCAGAGAATTTCTGCAGCTGCTGTTTCCATTGTGCACTCTCGTATTTTCAGAAAGACAAAATGTTTGGTATGCTAACACTAATTACACGTTAACATGCTTCATGGCTGACTACTGTACCATGTTCAGGACCTTTTTGGGATTATTTTACCTATAAGAGGGGTCTTGTCTGATGACGAAGGCAGGATGTCGTTGAGRATGAGCTGCATCACGGTGACGGCGAGCAGCACGGTGACCTTAAAGCTGAGCTTCTCGCCTCCTCTGTCTGGGATCAGGAAGGAGATCAAATCCAGACACAACAAGAAGAGGATAGGCAGCAGGAAGTTGATAATGTAGAGTTTGGCCCTCCTTTTCATGAAGATCTGTAAAAAATAAATATGATGTGGTCATGCAGGGATGGGCAACTGGCAGCCTGCGGGCCACATCAGGCCCWYRGGTGACTTCTGTCTGGCCCACCAATGAGAAAAAATACTTTTACTTACTTTTTACTTTAAAAAGCACAGAGAGCAGCTCTTTTGAATAAAAAAGTATAAAAGTGTTTCAGTGGCAATGGTGAAATGGGAGGTAGACTGTTCACAGATTTTCAAGGCAAACCTTTGTGTTTAATCTGTTTAGAGACCATGAAGGATTTAAATAAGTTGCCACAACATGTTGCACAAAGCTAAATGTGAGAAGCAAGTACATAAACAACAGCAACTTTTTTTATCAGGAGTCTGCACTCAAGGTATCTTATGGAGTTGCACTTCAGCTCGCTTAAACGTTTATTTTGGTTTGCTTCAAACATTTTTTGTTTATATTGACTAAGCAAGAGTGCAAAGTTATACATGCATTTTAGAATGAAATATTTCAAGTTACTGCGTTATGTTTTTTTTATAAACATCCCTGTGGTAGTGTCTGAGCCATTACCAACAGATAATCTGATTGTGACATCTCCCAATATTGCATAAAACTGTGCATGATATGTACAACATATAAAGATTGTTTTTAAGGTTTGACCGAAAACTCACAGCTCAATTTTCATTTAGAATAAAAAAAAATTCTTGCACAGATTAGCTGAATTCAAACTGATTCACTGTCATGTTTTTAAATTATATCAAACAACATCCATCCATCCATCCATCCATCCATTTTCTTCCG